TATATATATATATAATGATTCACTTATTTTAAGAAGAAATCTACTTAAACTTACTCAACTTAATAATTCATATTCTACATCAATTTTTAACTATTCAATTGTTAAATTAAATATATAAATCAAGTTTGTAAAGTTTTTAAAAAATTGAAAATTATTTGATACTTTATTTTATTAATTTAAATTAATAGATAATCATAAAAATAATTTATACGTTAATTTCAATTAATAAAATACAGTATCAAATAATTTTAAATTTTTTTGAAAATTTATAAAATTGATCTATGCATTAATGACATTTAATTTAACAGTTGGATCGTTCCAATTTGATTTAAAACATGAGTTATTGAATGAATTACATATGGGTAGACTTGGAGTAAGTGAATCTCCCATCTTATATATATATATATATATATATATATATATATATATATATGTATCTTAAAAAAATGACTTAAATAGAACCGGACCATATTTAAGAACCTACTAAGCTCGATAGGTTAAATGGGCCCATGTAGGACTGACCCACAGACTTATGGTCTGACCCATTAAACTTATAAGTGAATAATTTTAACAACCATCAATTTGTAAATTTGGTAATGTGTTATAAAATAATTGGATAAAATAAATACAGTAATAGTAATAGTCTTTCACTTTTTTATGTTTGCTTACAAAGTTATGATTACAAGCTTAGAGTTAATTAAGGTTAACCGCTATGAGAATTTTGTCGCTCTCATTGTGCTCTTGATGAATTGGTTCTGTGACTTGTCATCTTTGTTTTGTTTCTTAAAAAAGACAAAGACGTAAGCATGTTCGTGTTTGTGCTCACAGAGTCATGCATGATAAAAGTAAGGGTAGGGATATTAATGATGAAGAAAAAATACTGAAAAGGTAATGAAAATTAAGCCCAATACCTTTAAGGTGGATAAATGTAAATGCATTGTATACATGTAAAATTATTAGGTATTTCATAACAGTATATAATATCAATTAATCATGTAATAGTTTTTCATTATAAAATATTGATTTATTTTTTAAATGTATTTTTTTATTTAGGTTAGATTGGACCAAAAAAATGGCAAGGTAAAAAAATACAGGTCAAACCGACCTATCCTAAAATAGTATTTGACTCGTGTAGGCCAAGTTAGGTAAAGTCAGCTCAATCTATATGTATATGTATATGTATTTGTGTATGTATATATATATATATATATATATGTATATGTATATATATGTATATGTATATGTATATATGAGATCCTTCTACTTTATTTAACAACTCATGTTCTGCAATGAATTTCAATAATTCAATCGTTGAATTAAAAATTCTTAATGAACAGGTCAACTCTACAAATTTTTACAAAATTTGAAAGTTATATGATACTTCATTATATAGATTTAAATTAACGTACATTCACAAAAATATATCATATGCTAATTTGAACTTATGTAATAAAGTATCAAACTATTTTCAAATTTTGCAAAAGTTTGCACACTTGATCTATACAATAAAGTTTTAATTTAACAGTTAGATCATTAAAATTCAATGTTTATTATGAGTTATTGAATGAAATAACTATACCAAGAGTTACATAAATCCATTTACTCCAAGAGTAAGTCTTGGTAAACTTATTTTACTCAATAACTCGTGTTTTATATTAAATTTCAACAATTTAATTATTAATTGTCAATTTTACCTAAATATCATGCATTTTTAATTGTAAATTGACATAACTTTTTTTTTTTCTTTTGAAATTGCTCAAGATAATATATTTATACTTATTTCATTTTAAATCCATGATAATTATATCACTTTTTGATTATTTAATAGATGTTGTTTTGTAGGAAAAATAAGGAAAAAATGGTTAAAGAGATGATGAGAAAGAAATTGGAGACTTGAACAAATTTGAAAAAAAAAACGATGAATATAAAACTATCAATAATTCTCTTAAGCCTTTGATCAAATGCTTAAGCGGATTTACAAACATGAAAAATGAAGTGTTTGTCTCAAATTCGTTCAAGCCTCTATACTAA